ATGGATGGATGATGGATGGATGATTGATGGATGATGGATGGATTGATGGATGAATAGATGGATAGATGGATGGATGGATGAATGTATGGATGGATGGGTGGATGGATGGGTGGATGATGGATGGGAGGATGGATGGATGATGGATGGATGATGGTTGGATGGATGGATGATGGATGGATGATGGTTGGATGGATGATGGATGGATGGATGATGGTTGGATGGATGATGGATGGATGTAACTTTATCCCCATAAACTAGATGTTTCCTGCAGTCTCACATGTTAACATTTAGTTTTTATTATCTTAATTTTTATTTTTTTATCTTTMTTTTTCTTCAGAGCATCAAGGTGTCATGGCAGCCGCCGCCGCGCAGCGCTCAGAACGGGATCATCACCGCCTACAAGATCAGGTACAGGAAGACGGGTCGGCGTGGAGACCAGGAGGCCATCGAACCCAACAACTTCTGGTACCTGTTCACAGGTACGACTGGTGTGTGCGTGCGTGCGTGCGTGCGTGCGTGCGTGCGTGCGTGCGTGCGTGCGTGCGTGCGTGTGTGTGTGTGGATGACACATCGTCTCCTTTTTTTCTGTTTTTTCTTTTTCATTCTTTTGTGGAACAAAAGCCCACATTAGCATAAAACATCTGTCTTCCTTCAAACAGCCATTATTTCAATCTGAGCTTTGTTCGGCTTGAATGAAACTGATCTCTCTCTTTTCATTATTATATTTTTCATCGATGCTTATCTTCACCTGTCTGTCTGTGGGCGCCGCCGCTCCACGCTGCCAGGTCCACGTCTGAGAACCGTCTGCAGCTGAAAGAGCTGAGCGCGTCCTTCAGCTGAGCTGCAGCTCGTTACGTTTCTGTGGCTGGAGAGAGTTCACAAACTGATTATTTGATGTTTTTATCCTCATTTATCAGGATCTGACAGGAACAAGAGTCACAGCAGCAGCTTCTAAACACACGGATCAGACAAAATTACACTTCCTACAAAAGTTCAGCCTGAACGACCTGCTGAARCTGAGCTTAAACTAGCAGAGCGCTAGCTAATAGCTGTAAAACAGCTAAAAGTAGCAAAACATTTGCCAAATTCCAAAAAGTCTAAAGGCCACCTAAATGCAGAGTAGCAACAGTAGCTAAAAGATGAATCTAGAAAGTAAATTAAATTTAATTTAGCATAACACTAGCACAAATTAGCAAAAAGCAGAAAAAATGAGGTATGTGCTAAAAAAGCAAAAAGCTGCCTGAAAGTTAAAAGTAGCTAAAGGATAGATAAAAGTATTAAAATCAGATGAAAGCTAAAGTACCAAAATTGTAGCTAGACTCCAAAAGTAGCAAAATGCTATATCAAAATGGTAAAACACACAGCTTGAAGCGACAAAAAACTAAATGCTACCTAAAAGTCAAAAGTAGCAAAAGGGTACCCAAAAGCTAAAAGTAGAAAGGACTAGTTATGAACTGAAAGTACCAAAAGTTCAAATTAAAAAACTAGCAAGAAGCTTAACGTGGCTAAAAAAGGCTAGCTTAAAACTAAACTTAACAAAACATTGGCTTGAATCAGTCAAACATTAGCTGAAAGAAGCAAAAAATGCTAGCTGTAAGCTGAAAAAGCAAAAGGCTGTCTGAAAGCTGAGAGTAGGAAAAACGATAGATAAAAAWATGAAGTTTAGATAAAAGCCAAAGGTAGCAACATAGTACCCGAAAGCTAAAAGTAGAAAATAAGCTACAAACAAAAAGTAACCGAAAAGGGGTAGAGAAAAGTTAGCAAAGGCTAAACGTGACTAAAGGCTAGCTAAAAACTAAACTTAGCAAAAGCCGAAGGTAGCAAAACAGTACCCGAAAGCTAAAGGTAAAAAATACGCTATAAACAAAAAGTAACTGAAAAGGGGTAGGCAAAAGTTAACAAGTGCTAAACGTGACTAAAGGCTAGCTAAAAACTGAACTTGGCAAATCATTTGCTCAAATGAACACTAGGTTAGCTAACAGCTAGATAAAAACAGCAAAAGGCTAGCTAAAGGTTGAAATAGCAAATGGCTAGCTATATGGTAAAGGTAGCTGATTGGTAGCTAAAAGTACCTGAATGGTAGCCAAAAGTAGCTTAATGGTAACTAAAAGTAGCTTACAAAGACAAAAACGGAGCCAGGATTTGAAGCTGATTTCTATTTATTTTTACTTATTTTATGAATTATGTTTTTACAATAAGTAGATAAAATTAACTCAGAGTCTAAAAGTCAGCAGTGCTGCACATAAAGCAGCTAAATTTCAGCTGATCCAGAACCAGAGGATTATTCAGAGCGGCTGCAGTAAAGGCCTGAAAAGTTCAACCATGAATGTCAGCTGTAATGACTTGTCCTCTGTCCTCTGTCCTCCGTCCTCCTGTCCTCTGTCCTCCTGTCCTCCGTCCTCCTGTCCTCTGTCCTCCTGTCCTCCGTCCTCCTGTCCTCTCTCCTCCTGTCCTCTGTCCTCCTGTCCTCTGTCATCATGTCCTCTGTCCTCCTGTCCTCTGTCCTCCTGTCCTCTGTCCTCCTGTCTTCCTGTCCTCTGTCCTCCTGTCTTCCTGTCCTCTGTCCTCCTGTCCTTCTGTCCTCTGTCCTCCTGTCCTCTTGTCCTCCTGTCCTCCCGTCCTCTGTCCTCCCGTCCTCTGTCCTCCTGTCCTCTGTCCTCCTGACTTCCTGTCCTCTGTCCTCCTGTCTTCCTGTCCTCTGTCCTCCTGTCCTCCTGTCTTCCTGTCCTCCTGTCCTTCTGTCCTCTGTCCTCCTGTCCTCTGTCCTCTGTCCTCCTGTCCTCTTGTCCTCCTGTCCTCCTGTCCTCCCGTCCTCTGTCCTCCCGTCCTCTGTCCTCCTGTCCTCTGTCCTCCTGACTTCCTGTCCTCTGTCCTCCTGTCTTCCTGTCCTCTGTCCTCCTGTCCTCCTGTCTTCCTGTCCTCCTGTCCTCCTGTCCTTCTGTCCTCCTGTCCTCTGTCCTCTGTCCTCCTGTCCTCTTGTCCTCCTGTCCTCCTGTCCTCCCGTCCTCTGTCCTCCCGTCCTCTGTCCTCCCGTCCTCTGTCCTCTTGTCCTCCTGTCCTCCTGTCCTCTGTCCTCCTGTCCTCCTGTCCTCTGTCCTCTGTCCTCCTGTCCTCAGGCTTGGAGAAGGGCAGTCAGTACAGTTTCCAGGTGGCGGCCATGACGGCCAACGGGACGGGCCCCGCCAGCGACTGGTTCACCGCTGAGACCCCGGAGAACGACCTGGACGGTACGTGTTGGTTTAACGGCTGTAATCTGTCCAGGACGTCCCTTCCTGTCCAATCCAAACAAACATTAATATTTAAAGAGCAAAGAGCGAGCAGGGTGGTCTCCAGGGACGAGGGGACGAGCTGCAGGGAGGACGAGGAGGAAAAGTGTATAAATCTGTACAAAATACAGCAGTAATCACGTGAAACATGAYAAATGACCACAAGTTGTTGGCTTCTTGGAAACATCACATCCTCTCTTTAGTTTTTAACTTCTGTTTTCTTTGTATTTTTGGGATTTCACCTCTAAATAATCCACAGAAGCTGCTTCCCTTTAAATAAACTGAGGCCAAACAAACCACTGCTTTTATAATTCTTCTCAGAATAAAGGATCAAACCTGGCCTGGAGCTGAAGCTCAGAAGCAGCATGTTCATGTGGGCAGGAGGAACAAACACGTCTATGCTAACCGTGTTTCCTGCTCGGGTCGGGTGGAGCAGCTAATCTGGTTTGGATGGATTATCACTGAATGAAGTGAGATGAAGCGTCTCCCTGTGGGAGCTGAGATAATCTGATCTGATGCTGAGGAACAACACAAAGTGTCAGGTCCTGTGAGGGCTCATTACGCCGCTAACTGGGTTAGCATGTTTCTGACGCTAACCAGGTTAGCATGTTTCTGACGCTAACTGGGTTAGCATGTTTCTGACGCTAACCAGGTTAGCATGTTTCTGACGCTAACTCGGTTAGCATGTTTCTGACGCTAACCAGGTTAGCATGTCTCTGCGTCGGCTGCTGGAAGAGTCACTTCCTGCGACGGTCAGCTTCAGGCTGAACCTCTCGGACCTCTGACTGCTGGGTTTTCTGTTGTTGGGTTCTACAGAGAGCCAGGTCCCGGACCAGCCCAGCTCCCTACATGTCAGACCCCTCCCCAACAGCATCATCATGTCCTGGACTCCGCCCCTCAGCCCCAGCATCCTGGTTCGAGGTTACATCATCGGCTACGGAGTGGGAAGTCCGTACGCCGAGACGGTCCGAGTGGACAGCAAGCAGAGATACTACTCCATCGAGAACCTGGGTGAGAGACCAGGGTTTACCTGTGACCCTCCATTCAACCGACATCCAACCATCATCCATCCAACATCCAACCATCCAACATCCATCCAACATCAAACCATCCATCCATCCATAGTCTGTTCAGACCAGGGTTTAACCCTTAACCCTCCATCCAACCAACATCCAACCATCCATCCAACCAACATCCATCCATCCAACTCAACCAACCATCCATCCATAGTCTGTTCAGATCAGGGTTTAACCGTGACCCTCCATCCAACCCACATCCAACCATCATCCAACTCAACCAACCATCCATCCATAGTCTGTTCAGACCAGGGTTTAACCCTTAACCCTCCATCCAACCAACATCCAGCCATCCAACATCAAACCATCCATCCATCCATTGTCTGTTCAGACCAGGGTTTAACCAGTAACCCTCCATCCAACCAACATCCAGCCATCCAATATCCATCCACCCATCATCCAACATCCATCCAACCTCCATCCATAGTCTGTTCAGACCAGGGTTTAACCCTTAACCCTCCATCCAACTGACATCTAACCATCCATCCAACCAACATCCATCCATCCAACTCAACCAACCATCCAACATCCAACCATCCATCCAACCATCATCCATCCATCCAACTCAACCAACCATCCATCCATAGTCTGTTCAGACCAGGGTTTAACAGTGACCCTCCATCCAACCCACATCCAACCATCATCCAACCATCCATCCAACTCAACCAACCATCCATCCATAGTCTGCTCAGACCTAAGTTTGACCCTAACCCTACATCCAACCGACATCCAACCAACATCCATCATCCATCCAACCATCATTCATCCATCCAACATCCATCCAACCATCATCCAACCAACATCCGACCAACATCCAGTCATCCAACATCAAACATCCATTCATCCATCCATCATCCATCCAACCATCATACGTCCATCCAACCATCATCCAACCAACATCCATCCAACATCAAACCATCCATCCATCCATCCATCATCCATCCATCTATCCAACATCCGTCCTTAGTCTGTTCAGACCAGGTTTTAACCCTAACCCTCCATCCAACCGACATCCATCATCCAACATCAAACCCTCCATCCAATCAAAATCCAACCATCCAACATCAACCATTCATCCAGCATCCATCCAACCATCATCCATCCATCCATCCATCCAACCATCATCCATTAATAGTCTGTTCAGAACTGGGTTTAACCCTAACCACCCTATCATCCAACCAACATCCAACCATCCGTCCGTCCGTCCATCCATCCATGGATCCATCCATCCAACCAACATCCAACCAACATCCATCCATCCATTCATCCATCCATCCATCCATCCATCATCCATACATCATCCATCCACCCATCCATCCATCCATTCATCCATCCATCCATCCATCCATCCATCCATCTGAGAGACAGAGTCTCTCCGGTGTGTCCCTGTTGGACATGTCCAGAACACCTCCCTAAGGAGGCGTATAGGAGTCATCCTCACCAGATGAACCTCCTGATTTCAAATACAAAAAGTCAACGAAAACATCTCTATATTTAAGAAACTTGACATAAAACACACAATTTTACCCATTTTGTCTCATAGCTGTCATGTTTTCTTTTGAACATGGCTCAAAGTGAAACAGGAAGTGACATCAAAGGGGAACTCTTCATGAAAAGGAACTCTCTGCTCTTTGTTTATTAAAACATTATTTGAACTCTGACTTTTTTCTCTGATAAATGACTCAAAAACATCTAAAGAAACATCAGATTCTTCTCTACAGTCTGTTGTCTGTGACATTCCCCTTTGACATCACTTCCTGTCACATCACATGTAAATATCTCAGCAACTGTTCATCTCAGCGGCGTGACATTCCTCTTACATCACATTATCAATGTTGTCTGTCCAAAAAATGATTCATATTTATGACAACAATTTGACGTCACAGGCCCTTTAAAGATATTTTAAACAAATGAATTAAATAGTACAGTTGTTGCTGCTGAGGTGTGGGGAGAAAATATCTAAAGAAACTTTACAAAGTGCAACTCCAACGTTCATCAACTCCCTGTATCAGTTTTTCTGTCGAGATGTCCCAGCACCAGCTTTTATTAAACTTGTTTAAATGCTCTTAAAGATCTAAAGATTTTCTTTCAACTCCTATGAACTTTTTAAACAAGGAACTGACAAACGTCTCATTTTAAATGTAAACTGTAACACATTATTAACACTGGCTTTGGTCCTGAGTGTCCGGTCACACCTGTACAGGTGACCAGGTCGTTACAATGCTTCCATAAAACTCAAAACTTTAATTAATATTTTATTTAATCTGCGTCACTAAATTGTAAAATTTCCGTTTCTTGTCCCCGACTAATAATTAAAAGGGAACCCCTCCCCCCCCGCCCCCCGATGGACAGGTGGCACGTGTCKTAACCATGACAATGCCCCTGGAACTGATCCAAGAATTCACGGAAAAGTACCAGCACTCAGACTCCTCCCACTGATTGAAACACGACACCGGTGGGAGGAGTCTGAGTGAGAAGCAGGACCATGTTTCATGAAAATGGGCGGAGTCTAAACTGAATTATGTGTAATATAAGTAAAATTCTAGGATCTTTAACTCATCTGTGTTTAATTTTTTTACCTGAACTCTTATTTACAATAAAAGCTGATATTTTACTGACAGTTCAGGTTTGCCTCTGAGTTTTAAGGCTGAGAGGAGGAAGGTTTTAATCCTCCAACATCTGGGCAGCTGCTGAGCTGAAGCTGTTTTCCAGCTGCTCAGATAAAACATCTGCTGCCAGAACACACACTCACCTGTGCACACCTGTCCAGCATGAGGGTACATCATCACCCTCCATAAATCCTCCCACTCAAAGTGCCAATATTGACACAGCGCTGCTCTGCTTCCATTAATCCATTAGCATGAAACCTGCATTTAATTAGCATCAATATTTTAAAGGAATTTAATAAGGAAGCTGTTGGAAGTGGAAATCTAATTGTCAAACCTCCCCGGCGAGAGCAACAAGCAATTTGCATTCCAAAGGAGACAAAAACAAATTGGACGAATCTTTAATGCGTTGTGAAAATTTCCCTCTCAGGTCTCGTAATGGAGCCGTAATGAAAAATAAAATCCAGCTGTTGTGCCGCCGCGCACACGCGCACGTTTACAACCCGCCATCATTAATTCATGCAGTGAGGCGCCTCGCTGCTTCTGAAGGAGCACAGACGGCGGGTCAGAACCGAGGGGGAGGAGTTACACGCCGGACTTCCTGTCTCTGCCTGGTGACATCACAGCGTGGCTTTAATCTGTGCTGAAATGATTCCTCTTCCTGCCCCCCCTTCAGAGCCCAGCTCACATTACGTCATCTCCCTGAAGGCCTTCAACAACGCCGGAGAGGGGGTCCCTCTGTACGAGAGCGCCGTCACCCGCTCCCTCACAGGTAGGACCACCCGCCGCTGACCATAATCTGAAGATAATCTGTGCAGTTTATTCAGAAATGTTTACAGTAAAACCATTAATTTATGTTRGAGTGGGAACATTTTATCAGTTTCAGTTCAGTTTATAAGAAGCAGTAGGATTTATTATTCATCCGTCTGTGAGCTGAAATATTCATTATAAAGGTTTGGAAATACAGACCAAATAAAAACACCACAAACTTTCTTCACTTACAGCTCTAACTTCACCAAGATGGAGCAAAATCTGAACAAAAACATGTTTGCAAATAAACTCATAATTTATTTACACAAAGGAAAGAAACATCTCAAATACAGAAACTAAAACATTGTTCAGGAACACGTGTTCCAGGCCCTGCAGCTGCAGAACAGGGGCGGAGCCAGAGGGGAGGCACCTGATTGGCCACACCAAGTAACCCCACTTTGAGTTTTTATTTGAATTTAGGTTTTGTAAAAAAATGTTTCATATGTTTCAGTTGTTTTAGGTGTTTCATATGTTTCAGTTGTTTTAGGTGTTTCATATGTTTCAGTTGTTTTAGGTGTTTCATATGTTTCAAGTGTTTCAGGTGTTTCATATGTTTCAAGTGTTTCAGGTGTTTCATATGTTTCAGTTGTTTTAGGTGTTTCATATGTTTCAAGTGTTTCAGGTGTTTCACGTGTTTCATATGTTTCAGATGTTTCAGGTGTTTCACATGATTCATATGTTCCAGGTGTTTCAGATGTTTCAGATGTTTCATATGTTCCAGGTGTTTCATATGTTTCAAGTGTTTCGGGTGTTTCATATGTTTCAGGTGTTTCAGATTTTTCAGGTGTTTCATATGTTTCAGATGTTTCAGGTGTTTCATGTGTTTCAGGTGTTTCAGGTGTTTCAGATGTTTCGAGTGTTTCATATGTTTCAGGTGTTGCAGATTTTTCAGGTGTTTCATATGTTTCAGATGTTTCAGGTATTTCATGTGTTTCAGGTGTTTCAGGTGTTTCATATGTTTCAAGTGTGTCAGGTGTTTCAGATGTTTCAGGTGTTTTAAATGTTTCAGGTGTTTCAGATGTTTCAGGTGTTTCATATATTTCAGATGTTTCAGGTGTTTCATATGTTTCAGGTGTTTCAGATGTTTGAGGTGTATCAGTTGTTTCAGGTGTTTCAGATGGTTCGGATGTTTCAGGTGTATCAATTGTTTCATATGTTTCAGGTGTTTCAGATTTTTCAGGTGTTTCAGTTGTTTCATATGTTTCAGGTGTTTCATATATTTCAGGTGTTTCAGGTGTATCAGTTGTTTCATATGTTTCTGGTGTTTCAGGTGTTTCAGCTGTTTCATATATTTCAGGTGATTCAGGTGTATCAGTTGTTTCAGATGTTTCAGATGTTTCATGTATTTCAGGTGTTTCAGGTGTATCAGTTGTTTCAAAGTTTCTGGTGTTTCAGGTGTTTCAGCTGTTTCATATATTTCATGTATTTCAGGTGTTTCAGGTGTATCAGTTGTTTCATATGTTTCTGGTGTTTCATATGTTTCAGGTGTTTCAGGTGTTTCAGATGTTTCATGTGTTTCATATATTTCAGGTGTTTCAGGTGTATCAGTTGTTTCATATGTTTCGGGTGTTTCAGATGTTTCAGGTGTTTCAGATGTTTCATGTATTTTAGGTGTTTCAGGTGTATCAGTTATTTCATATGTTTCTGATGTTTCAGGTGTTTCAGGTGTATCAGTTGTTTCATATGTTTCTGGTTTTTCAGGTGTTTCAGATGTTTCGTATATTTCAGGTGTTTCAGGTGTATCATTTGTTTCATATGTTTCTGGTGTTTCAGGTGTTTCATGTGTTTCAGGTGTTTCATATGTTTCAGGTGTTTCAGATGTTTCAGGTGTTTCATATGTTTCATGTGTTTCAGATGTTTCAGGTGTTTCAAATATTTCAAAGGTTTCAGGTGTTTCATATGTTTCAGGTGTTTCAGATGCTTCAGATGTTTCAGGTGTATCAATTGTTTCATATGTTTGAGGTGTTTCAGATGTTTCAGGTGTTTCAGTTGTTTCATATGTTTCATGTATTTCAGGTGTTTCAGGTGTATCAGTTTTTTCATATGTTTCTGGTGTTTCAGGTGTTTCAAGTGTTTCAGGTGTTTCAGGCGTTTCAGTTGTTTCATATGTTTCTGGTGTTTCAGATGTTTCATATATTTCAGGTGTTTCAGGTGTATCAGTTATTTCATATGTTTCTGGTGTTTCAGTTGTTTCAGATGTTTCAGGTGTTTCAGATGTTTCATATATTTCAGGTGTTTCAGGTGTATCAGTTATTTCATGTGTTTCAGATGTTTCATATATTTCAGGTGTTTCAGGTGTATCAGTTGTTTCTGGTGTTTCAGGTGTTTCAGTTGTTTCATATGTTTCTGGTGTTTCAGATGTTTCATATATTTCAGGTGTTTCAGGTGTATCAGTTGTTTCTGGTGTTTCAGGTGTTTCAGTTGTTTCATATGTTTCTGGTGTTTCAGATGTTTCATATATTTCAGGTGTTTCAGGTGTATCAGTTGTTTCATATGTTTCTGGTGTTTCAGATGTTTCATATATTTCAGGTGTTTCAGATGTTTCATATATTTCAGGTGTTTCAG